CACGAGTTGTAAAAGTTAAAAGGGCAATAAACGTCGATATGTAAAGCTTAACATTCGGCAGATATTTAGAAAGTTTCCCGAAATTTCGTAGTTGAGGCAACGCTTTCGAATTTGAACCGATATTTCAACTCTAATAAGCTCTTTAATAGAACTCTTCTAAAATGATCAGTGTATAATATATTACATCATAAAAGTGATAACAAGTCGAACATTAGAATAAAATACGCGAGGATATTATTACAATATTTTCTAATATTATTTCAATTAAATATATAGATATATTTTTAAACTTACGTGATAGGATTGACGTAAGTAAGACACTTTTTTTTTCAAAGTAAACAGCGATTATAAATATTCACTATTTTAACGCGCTACTCACAAACATTCAAATTTGCTTACAAAATATATGCAGGTAAACTATACGTGTAATCGAGCTGGAATGTAACATGCAGAATATACAATTCCAACTAAATAATATCGAATGATACGAAAAACTGCATGGCACTTCCGCGCGTCGTTTTTTCGCTATTTTTCGTAAACCGCAATATTTACGGGCGAGATAATGATCTCGGTTGGTAACTCACGGGCATATTTCAGCTTTAATCCCAGATCCTCGACGATTGTTTTGTCACGATCAGCCCATTCGATGACCGGATCAATTAAAATCGCTTCCTTATCGCTGATATCGGCTAGTAAATACGTGTACGTACTGGATACTGGATCGAAAAGCTGGAGAGATTTAAATAGTTATTCATTACTCTTCCTAACAATCATCCGGATTTAAAATTGCATTATCTGTATTACGTTATAACATAAATGACATATTATTATCGTTTTAATGACAATATAATTCTTGTGACTATGTCTTTGTAATTACGTCATTACAAATAGCATTGATTAAATACGTATGCATTGCATACATTAAAACGCTAAAAAGAAATAAACGTAATAAGATAATTAGCGAAAAATGATCGTCGAATTAATGTCGAAATCGTCGTAGCGATTAGATATCAATTCGATGAATCATTTCTCGCCGGAAAGCATGTAAACATATCCATATGATATATTACATTATACGCGATAAAAAAATCGCAAAGGAAATGATAAAATTCCATATTTTTAAATAATATTTGCCGCACATGTATTTCGATTCTGTACAAACACTACAAACTAAATAAAAATACGATAGATAAGATAATCAATTGCAGGCAACAAACAAATGCGTCCACATTTTGCAACGTCGTTTAACAACGATTTGTACATTTTGAATGCTGTCACATGTTTAATTGTACCGCACCGACCCTCATTCGTGTATGATGTGCGGGAGGCAAGGGGACAGCAGAAAATATAATTCTTTGAAAATACACTGTACAAAACTATATTTTCACGAAGCGTAAACGAAAAACAAAATGCTTTTTTACATTTTTTTTCCCCAATGTTAACGTGCAACATTCATTAATCCAGTCAGCACTGAACTGTTTTTGAGAATAATTCGGATATGTAATAATTTTTGTTTTTAGTCAGATTTCACCTGCGTTTTCATCCGATTCTAACTTGAAGTCTACCGAAAAACGAAATGCGCTTTGCTTTGAATATAAAACCAGATTTGAACGAAAATACAACGCTTTTTGCCATCATTTCTTTGTCATACATCGACATGACCATTTATCTATATTCGTCGCGAAAATGAATTTGAATTAAATTCATTCATTTGGCCATTTTCAAGTAGGTAATACATTTCCTCTAACTTCTAATATTAACGTTACATTTTGCTGCAATATAATCTTGTTACGCAAGAACTAACAAGCGTAAAAATAATGATGAATATTTGCATTCCATACGTCAAGATAAACTCAAAACCGATTACCTTTCGACCGGTAAATCAAATTTTTGTTCAAACCATTTCAAACGTCTGTTGAAATTGTAAACGGTAAAAGCTTCATGAAAAAAAACACGCATTCAGTTACGGTTGACCAGTACAATATAAAAACATTATATGTAGAAACGAAGCAGATCAAAGAACACCCCATGTTGAAACCAGCGCGGTAAACAGTGCTGAATGAAAAAGAGTAAAAAAAAAAAGAGAGAATTTACTTAAAATATATTCGTTAGTATCATATAACATATGGAACGTATAATAAAATTATGAAGTTACGAAAAATTTCACATGACATTTTTAGAAAAAGTTTGTTTCATATTTGTGAAAAAATCCTCTCTTGAGATATTTCAGCCAGCCGGAGGTACTTGCACTTTCTACATCAAAATTTTTGCAATCCGAGTAAATTCTTGGATGTAAAGTTCATTCAAGGTTATTTCAAATATGTTTCAAATGCGAACGCGAATGTCAATGTTCTCCCTGACCGTGCTTTTCTACATTTTTCTGCAATCCCTTTCTGTTATCCCTCGAAATCCAGGATACGGAGTTGCTTTATTTTATATGCAGCCAACGTAGAGAAAAAGAAACAAAAATTCTACCTTTTTTAGTTATACTTTTCTATATCATACAATACTTTCTTTTTTCTGTTTTTTTCAAAATATCAAATATATATTTATTTTATTTAAAGCTCTACATAAAATGGATCTTAAATCTATTCCGAGATCTCTATTCCTTCACAAAATATATTTTTATACTACCCACTAATGTTCTTCATACTTTTTTCTTTCAAAATTGTAATAAATTAGACATAAAAATTATTAAACAAGCTATTTGTAGATGTATTTTCAAAATTAAGATCGTTTTCCAAAACGATTTCAAGACTAAAGTAAAAAAACTCATATCATATTTTAAAGATTAAAAATTTTGTTTATAAAAAGAATCAAAGAATTCAATCAAGAATTCAAAAATTTTGATTTCTAATTAAATAATTATTTTAAAATAAAGTGATTTCAATCAAACTTCTAAAAATTAATTTAATCACTTTTATACGATTAATCTATCAAATAATAAAATTCAGATAATTTTTTAAAAAAGACAGAATTATCGCTAATTAAATTAATCAAAATTCAGTCAAAGTTACTCTTATTTTTATATACGAAAAGTGTAAGAAGAAGTGACTAAGGCTGTCGCTATTCCAATTTTACATTTAAAATCATTTTAAATACGCTTGGTTCGGTCATTTTATCGACTGGAAAACGTGATTCGAATAAACTTGCAATTAGCTGATATGTCGGCTAATTACATTACATAGTTTAATTAAAAATATTCAGTTTAAATTATCCAAAGAGAAGTATCAAATCTTTTGAATTATTTACAAAATCTCTCATATAAATTAAATATATAATTTCATACAAAAATTTTATTTAATTAATTTTTATCAGCTAACTACTTATGTATAAAAAGAATTAATTAATTAATTAAAATTACCTGAATGATTGTCAGATCTTTTTAATTACACTTTTATATAAGATTGGTATATAAAATATAAACAATTTCACTCCTAAAAATTGTTTAAGAAATTCATTATCGGCTAAGTTTATACGAATCCGTTCCCATGACCAGACGATCTTGAATGTATAATCGAACCACCTTAAAACACTGCTCGTCAGATGACGTTGCAGTCAAGGCTCCTTGGATTGGACATGCGCTGGTTAGTCAACTTATTGGACTTATCCTTCGTGCAAATGTTACCTGACGAAACAGAAAATCCTTCGAAAAGGGCACTCGCTCCGTCAGAACGTCAATCATGGCATGTTTCGCACATGTCCCGTTTCTCCATAAAATTATTGGCGATGATAATCGGTAGAAATTACGGATCATAGCTCGCTTATATAAAGCAACGCTCTCGTCACGTAACACTGCGCATAACTACCGACGATAACGACAAGCTTCCACTACTTCTGGTCCCCTCAATTTATGTCCTCTCGCTTTGATTCCCCAACATTGTGCAACACGATTATCTTTTACCATCATTTTCATCGTATCAGTTTGTCACGTCACGTTGTGTCACTCGCTGATTATTCAATTACGAGAAATCATTATTTCTAGTAATAAGACAAATATGAATTACATTTGTTAGCGATATGCAGATGTTTATATTATGTGATCACGCCTTTTCAAGATGACTGCTTGTCTTGAAAATTATATAATCCTGGATAGTCTTCTACCACCTTGAAAGCTATTTCCGGTTAACACTTGTTAGCATTCTTCGAAAGTGCATAATTGCGATTTATGCACTTTATTACTTCGAAAGTGCATAATTGCATAAATGCACTTTATTACTTGATATTAAAAATGCATTATGATGGGTGCTTTTCATTTGATGAAAAAGTTGACGCAAGCATCGTTTTATTCTTCTTGATAGTCTTCAGAGAGTGACAAAGATAGAACGACATTTATGTCGACTTGTGTCATCAAAAACACTCGATGTTCATTGGTGGATACAAATTTGTCAAGAAGGACCATTGATGCGCCGCAAGCAAAATTGTTTTTTATAACTATATATTAAATATGAAAAGATAGAATAATAAATTATTATTTAAATTATTAAATTAAAAAGGTGTATTATTTAAATGTATAAAGTCATAAAACATTTTATTTAAAATTATATTGTATTAATAATAAATAATGTAATGGAATTTACATTTTTTATATTCAGAAGTTTCTTAAATTAAAATATATTTTTAAAATATCAAAATTGTAATTAAGCATTTCAGAAATTTTATAAATTATGCTAATATAGACGAGGTTTAGATATTTATATTAAATGTTTTATTCTTTAATAATATTTAATATAAAAAATATATATATTATACTATGTACAATATAATAAAACATAATACAATCTTCTTTAATTTTTTTAGTATATATATATGTGTGTGTGTGTGTGTGTGTGTGTGTGTGGTGTGTGTATAGTTATAAAATTTAATAAATTAATATCTGAAAAAGTTAATTTAATTATTTATGAAACATTGCTTTTACTCTCACCTACATGATGACGTTCATGTAAACAGGATTTTTATTTCATAACATGATATTGCGAAGCATTTGTCCGACTTTTTGAATTTCCCGCCTGTTACCTCATGTCATGGAATGTCCTAACCATTCCTTCGCTACTTGGGCTTTGCTCTTTCCGGTTTGTATTCTCACAAAGGTTCGTAGTGTTGATAATCCTTTGGCAATTTAAGTTGATTTTAATGAACAATATGTAAAAATGTATAATAAGAAACATATCAATTTAGGTTTTTACTATTTTTACCAATTATTAGAATCAGAACATTAATTTGTGTTTTACACGTGTGATTTGTGTATATGTGCACTAATTCATGTATTGATTATTTTATCTAATTAAACTTTCCTTTCAGATGCCGTCTGTAACGCTAAAGGACGTTGATCAGCAAAAATTTGTGAAGGCTTTCGCAGCCTTTCTCAAAAAGTAAGTAAAAATATCATTGAATGAAAATCCTAACCTATAACTATAACCTATCCTCTTATACACGTGTAATGTTTCGAACACATATTGAACTGTTCTTATTTATTTTTTATCATTTAATACTACTATTAATTCTTTTCTGTATTATTTTGATTCATTTTTATAAAAATTTCTATTTCACGTTGTATTTTACAAAAATAATTGTATACTCTGGCTGTTTTTCTTGTAAGAAATACAGTCGATACAATTATCTTTGTTGTTTATTAAATGCAAAGAAAGACAAAATGATATTGAATGTCAACTGTATTTTTCAAAAGGAAAGCAGCTTATATATACTTGCTACGATATACTTTGTAATTCGACTTTGTAAAAATTTAGAACTGGCAAGATGCGGGTACCAGAATGGGTAGATATTGTGAAGACAGCGAAATTCAAGGAACTGGCTCCTTATGATCCTGACTGGTACTACATCAGATGTGCAGCCCTAGTGCGTCACATCTATATTCGTAGCCCAATTGGAGTCGGTGCTGTTACCAAGATCTTTGGTGGACGCAAACGCAATGGCACCCATCCCAGCCACTTCTGTCGATCGGCGGGGGGGGGCGCAGCACGCAAGGCACTCCAAAGCTTGGAGCAGTTGAAGCTGATTGAGAAGGCACCCCTTGGTGGACGCAAATTAACTAGCCAAGGACGCAGGGACTTGGATCGAATCGCTGCACAAGTTAAAGCTAAGAGCAAAAAGCAACTTAAGCTTCAGGAAGTTGTAATGTAATATTCTTTTATGTTTCTGTAATAAAACACATTTAACTACTTGAATTTTGCTTTTTGATTGTATAAACAATTTTACCGTTGGTAAATTTGCTAAATAATATCCAAGAATTTCTTTAATAATGGAAACTTAATTTTACCAAGTTAAATTTCTATTATTATTAGGTGTTGGAATTAATTCGTAGCGTTTTACAAGTGATGGGAAGTACTTTCATTAATGTATTTTTTAATGCTCATGTGAAATAAATAACATTCTTTCATTAAAAAACGCTACGAATTAATTCCAACACCTAATAGAATCTTGCTTTAATCAGATCTACAACAGTATTTGTTTTTGGTATAGTTGATACATATTCATGAACATTAGAGTTGTTATACTGTATGTGAAATATATTTTTATAGCAAACGTATTAGACAATTTTAATAAATAAATGCTTGAAACATTCTATTATCAATTGACGTTGTTTAAAATATAATACTTTTTATCCATATTGCATTTATGCAAGACATGTATTTCTTTTTTAAGTTCTATTGAAATATTGGAAAAAGTGATTTATAATTTAGTAAGAAAGAAGAGATTGCATTTAAAATAGGTATAAATATATCTGCATCTTGTTATATATAATTTATAAAACTTCTGTTATATGACATAAATATGAAATTTAATTGTAATTAAAATATAATTTGTGTGTGTGTGTGTGTGTGTGTGTCAAAATTGGACAAATTTCTTTTAAATTAAATAAGTAAGGAAAAAGTGCTAATAGTAAGCAAAAGGAAGTCGAGGCTGCAGATACAATAATATTTTTGTATGTAAATTCTAAGTAGATACATCAGTTACATGAACTGTATACCTCTACTCAAATTGCATGTATAAATGAAGCTGAAATAATATCACAATTAAATTCACATTTAATATCAAATCGTTGATTTGATAATGATACTACTAGCATCTTAAAATACTGTAAAGAACTTAGTAAAAAAATAGTTAAATACTTTTTCCTTTACAATGTCTTTTTGTTAATCAAATGTATATATTTCGATTATCTAGAAAAAAGAATTATAAATCGAAAAAAGATTAGATCTAAAGAAAATATTAGATTTTCGATTATTTTCCGACTAGAATAGAAATCCGCCAATTATTGTCTTAAAATCATTTATATTTTCATAAATATTCACCAGCCATTTAAAATTTTAAATCATGAAGCATTCGTTCACTTTTTCAATTTCCCACCATTTCTCGCGTGCTGCCATCTGACGGTGCCGCATCGTAATCGTCGCCATCGACTACTAACGGGTGACCGCTCTGAATACGCTTCGTTTCGTGGCTCGCATTTGGTCGCGCGCGCGTCGGCAGCGCCGCCTCAGTGAAACTTCGGCCGCAGTCGCGAGTGTTTCGGCGGTACTCGGCACCGATCGAGGTGGTTAGGGTGCGCGATTAGATGCGAGATTCAAGTGCAAAAGGAGCATCCCCGTGGACGGTAACTCTGCGTACGCGCACGTGTGCTCGCTAGTCTCCGGTCTGTTTTTATGTATTCGTGCGCATCGGCCCGTCCTACGTCCCGCGTGGCCTGCGTCCGTTCGCCGCGGCAGTGTGCATGCGCGCATGTACGTATGTATGGTGATCTGCGCTTCTTGCTGACGAAAAGAGCGACGAGTTGCTGCTGTGTTGTTGCTGCTATGCGTCTCCGCGACGGCTGGTGGCTCGCCGCGACTATGTCGCGAAAATAATCACGCCACCGGTCCCGCGAGTGTCTCTCACTCTCTTTCGTTCTCCCTCTCTACGCGGACACGGAGAGGTGGTGGCCGTCGGACACGCTGCTCGAATCTGTTTCTCTGTCACGCTCCCTCGTCATTCATTCCTCTCTGTCTTTCTCTCTCTTCTCTCTTTCTCTCTCTCTCTCTCTCTCTCGCGCCCTCTTTCCTTTACGCATACGCACACCCGTGTTCTCTCTTTCTCTCTCTCTCGTTCCCTGTCACTCTTCGTGCCGGGATAACGTTTATACCGTTCGTCACAGAGAGGCGGAAAAGAAAACGTGATCGGAGTGTCCCCCGTGGAATTCATGGTGAGAGACAAGTGAAGTGAACGGTGTCCGCGGAGTGTAAAAGTGCGCGCGGACGCCGGCAACGACGACCGCGACGGCGACGACGAGGAAGACGAGCAAGGGGGAGTCGCGGTGGCGAGAAGCGATCCGCCGAAGGGATAGCCTCGCTTGCAGCTGGGCGCTGGGGGAGGGGTGGGGTGGACGGCGGGAGACGGAACAACTGACGGAAAACGAGAACGGGCGGAAAGATGCCGGGCCTGATCGCCGTGAGCGAGTTCGTCGAGGAGACGAGGGAGGACTACAACTCGCCCACCACGTCCACTTTCGTCTCACGAATGCCACAGTGCAGGCAGACTATCACATCCCTCGAGGAGGTGAGTTACGACGATTCGTGTAACACCCGTCATGACGCTCCTTCCCGTAAACATGATTCATTGAAATTGACCGAAGCCTCGATCTTTCACCGGTTCTCTTATTCTCATTTTCGAGAAGTCAAATGTACTATGATCGACATCAATTGATAGTTTAAAAATCGTCGAGATCCGAATCATTTATCTTGACACTTTCGTCCATTTTTGTTTCAATTTTTCATACATTTTTACTCTAATTTTTTATTTATTCATGTTTTGATTTTTTACAGCATTTTGGGTATAATTTTTTGTGTATCATTGTTCCAATTTTTTGATATATTGTTACTCCAATTTTTCATTTATTATTGCTCTAATTTTTATCGTCTACTTTTACTTTAATTTTTCATATACCTTCGCTCCAATTTTTTAATACGTTATTAATCCAATTTTTTAATTTATTTTTGCTCTGATCTTTTTGTGCATTTTTATTTTAATTTTTCGTTGCTCCAATCCTTGCTCTAATTTTTTAATACATATGTTATTACTCTAATTTTTTATTTATTCTTGTACTGATTTTTTCGTGCATTTTTATTCCAATTTTTCTCGAGTATTTTTACTGCAATTTGTATTTGTTCTTAATTTTTAACTATACTTTTCTAGTTATGTATTTTTGCTCTATTCTCTCTCTCTTAATGCATTATTATTACTCCATTTTTTTTCATTTATTCTTGCACTGATTTTTTCTTGTATTTCTGTTTCAATTTCCCAAATATTTTTCTGCAATTCATATTTATGCTCCATTTTTTACCGCGCTTTTCTAAACACATTCTGCTCTCGAAGTATCTGCGGCTGTTATTTCTCTCCGTTCGCCACCCCATTGTATCGTATCGTCCTTGCCGCTCTCTTTTTCCTTGTCAGCGTTAACCGTACCGGGTTGCGCATGTTTTTTTATGCGTGGGCGTGTATATCGCGTATCGGTTGCGTGATACGCACCGGGAACGTCTATCGACAGTTCCCTGATTCCATAAAGCGTATGATGTATCATTTTATCTTTGTTTAACATACGATGAACAACAAAAATAAAATGATACATCATGCACTTTACAAAACGCAGCCAATGTTCGACATTCTCGACTGCGATCCTGCAAACGCCGACGTTACAAGTAGACATTAGAACGATCGTAACACTTTCCGGACAGTAGTTTTTACGGTTTTTACACGAAAAGAACGGTTTCGTTAAAAGATCGAAAATTTTACTATACTGGAAAAGTTGCATTAATAAAAATTTTTGTTAAAAATGGACAAATCAGAATTTTCTCATTAAATCTATTATAATTCTGGAAAAAGAACGATGTGGAAGGATAAAAATTCAGATAGATCTGAAAATAATTTTCTTGGACCATGAAAATACTTACGTAGAAATCTCAAGCATTATCAGCAATGTCATAAAAAGTTTTGACATTCCCGCAACCAGCGTTCTACATAATTATTTTAATGGTTTAATAAAATTATTTTTATATATATTTATATTTAACTAAATTTTTAAATCTTCAGCAAAATAGTTCTTTCCGTGTAATTATGATAATCAGAATTCTGATTGATCAGAATTTTTCGGTTCGTTCATTTTCAACCAGAAATTTTTCTCAGTGTGGATATAAATCTGACAATAACTACTTTGTTGGACCATTGGAATAATTATGTTGGAAACTAAAAAATGATTGATGAACAATGCTGCAAAAAAGTGATATTCTAGCAATCAGTTCGAGTTAAAAATTTTGCTAGCAAAATTATTTTGATGATCCAATAAAATTATTTTTAGTATTTCCTGTAGATATCTAGCAAAATTTTAGATCTTTCAGCAAAATCGCTCTATAATAATTTATTCATGAGGCTTTGAACAGCGATGAATGCACTTAGCACAATTAGTATACGTTTTATGCCTTACGAATTTTTATTATCACTTTACAGGAGCTTACCAAAGAAAGATATTCCGTTTGTGATGTCGATTACATAACATTAATGTAAGAATTGTCCTCTCTCTCGGTTTCTTCGTTCATGTTTAATTGAATCACGTCCCATTCGATACGTGTAGGTTTATTAGCCGTACCTTAAAAATACATGTATTCTTTTTAATATCGTAAAATTTTTTGAAATAAAATATTTATAAAAAATTATATCAACTTCTTTAGACCTGTGTACATTACAATGTACATACATCGAAGACATTATTCATTGAAATTACTTATTAATATTCTATTGAATATTATCTGAAACCAGAAGTACATAATAATGTTGGAAAAATAATCAAAGTTTGGAAAAAAAAAAATTCTTTAATGGAAATTACTTATTAAAGTACCTTCGAATTAAAAAAAAATGTTTTATAAATGATTGCATTAAAATCAGATCTTTTAAAGGATCTTTTAATAAGTATTGTTAATGAAAAATATATTTTAGAAATTCTATTTTATTAAATACATTTATAATGCATAAACAAATTCTTATATTTTCTTCCTGGAATTCATTAAACAAATTATATCTTATATTTTTTTCCTGGATCATCTTTTTTTAAAAACTGTACATATGTACACTTTTCTTGTAATTCAAATATGGTAACTCTATATGTGTCAACACGTGATAATTTTAAAACTGTCGAAAAAGGAGGGACTTGTTTATCATCACCGATTGATCATTAACACTTCAAATACGGAGATGATGCTAATGCCGAGGCATTTAAAGCCGCGCGACGTAGCCGGCGATGACGCTATTATTATCGTCGCACGTGCTTTGAAATCCGATTTCCTCGCCAGGAAACTGGCCGCATTATCGGTTTATATATTCCTCATCGTTCAATGGCTCGTTTCTCGTAGCATTGGTAGCGTTCGTTCTGACGCAATTTCAGAAATATTAAGAGAGATAAAGAAGCATGACTTGAAAAAGGATGCTAACAGGACTATCCATCGTCAGATATGTATAAATATCCGTGATACCGGATGTATCGCATTTTTCGGTAGAATCATCAACATTTGCGATCATCGTTTCGCCGGCATGATCATCGCTTTGCGTCGGCGCTCCTAATTTGCAGGCGCGTGAATGACTATGATACGTATCTCTGTCAAGTGGAATCCGAGCAACAATAGTACTCGCGTGAAATGTGTATCCTTGTGTAGTGTACAAAGCACGGAATCGCTTATACGCGGAACGTATAGAACAGGAATAACGCAAATATCAGTTCTAACAAAGCTTTGTTTTTTTCTCGCATAACGGAACAATGGAAGATTTTTAATTGGATTTTTAATTGAATTCTTAAAAATTTGTAGAATGAATTTTGAAGACAAAAGATAGAAAATAAGATGAATTCCCAGATAAGACTTTATTTAAAATTAATTGCTGTTATTTAAAAAGTCGTGTGTTAATTATTGAAGGTAGTTAGTAATATTTTTTCTCATCTCTGAATATGGATGCTTATGTATTTTAAATGACTATATAATTGCAAATTATCATTACGTAATTTGGAAACGTGATATTAAAACATTTTTCTAATAAAAATATCTGGAAGGATCTACTGATTTGGCAATAGGATTTAAGGAAAGGATGAGATATCACTGATTCTATGATTATTCTTATTATGAACATATCGTTTTAATTCTCTCATTCATGAATAATATCCTCGGTAATATCATTTTACATGCATTAATATTCTATCATTTTATATGCTAATATTCGCGCAATAATAGAATAAGATAAGATAAATTGTCAGCATTATCATATTTTACTACTCAAAGAAAGAAATAAAAAACTAATAAAAATCTATCTAATACAAAAATTGATTTTTATCACTATAGTATCAATTTTATGTTTTGTAAATAATTGAAATGACAAACTAGTATTTTTAATCAAGCACACATGCTTTATAATTTAAGACGCTATGCATATTTTAAATTATATTAAAAATTCAGATTGATAAAGTTTTTTTATGAAAATCTCTTAAGAAAAAAAAATGATTATAAGAATTTTTTACATAATTAACATATATACAAAAAAGCATTTCGTAAGCTTCATACATAATTCGTTAAAAACCAACAATGAAAAAAAATTGCGCGTCAAAATTCCACTGTCGTGTGCTGCTACCCATTATTCTACAAATTCCGCATTGTTTCCAGAGATATATGTATATTCAAGAGCATAAATTCTTTCTAAAAAAAAATTCAGCAAAACGTAATTCTTTATCAGCCATCAAAAGTGATGAATAAGCGTACGCTAATCAGAAATGTCGATTGAATCAATAGAATCAAGGACGATTTGCGCAGCTCTCATAGGGTCGTAGGTAGTAATTTAATGAAGGTTAAATTTTGGTAACAATTTCATAACCGTTTTTATATGATTGCGTAGAGAATTAATGTATATATTACAGACACACACACATACCAATATATATAAACATTACATCAATTTATTTGATATTACTTTCAAAATTGCGAGGACTAATTCACGTATTATCTGGAAACTATCCATTTACTTGATATAAATGTTTTTGCGCAGTCGTGCAGAAGCGTGCTTGTAGAACATAAAATCCAAACTGGGCTTTTCGAGAAGAGAAAGAGATAGTACAAGAGAGAGATGAAAAAAGATAGAAAAAATAAATTGCCGATATACGAGGATAATAAGAAATAATGAATGTTGGAAGAGAAAGCGAAGAGTTTAAAAGCTTTAAGAGTACCAAGGCTCTAAAGTAATTTAATCCGATGTGCAACTCTTCATTATTTTTTAGAACATCATTTTAACAGTATCTGATCTCTTTTGACACATCCTTATTCTAAATTTAATATTCAACAGAGAAAAGTAGGAATAGCCTCCGTGAATCATATAATATTGTTATATGATCCTGACATGAAAAATTTCTCACCGACCTGCGACGAGGCTCACCCAAGGCTTCGCCTTGAAGAAATATGTCCAATATCCACATCGGCGTGTCGGAATTTCCGGGTCACTCGTTCTTTCCTCCCTCAGGAGTGAGCGGTAAGATGGAGTAGAGGAAACGGAGAAGATGCACGTTGCGATGTTCCTGTCTCCTTTAACGATCCGGAGAATTTTCGCGAGGTGAAAATTCCGCTAGGAGCATGCTCGTAGAACTGGCTTCTTCGTCTTTCTGTCATTCCTCTTCTCGCCGAGAATTTCTTCTTCGTGGTGACGATTATAACGCGGTAGAACATTTTGCCGTTACGGACATGTCGACAGACGGTGACGAGTATAATCATCGTAGAAGTTTACTTTGCGACGCGGCGACGACATCTGTACATTTTTAATGTGTGCCAATTCATATATCGGATCTTCGTTTGCTATATCTTGTACATCTTGTATACTCATGTAAATTTCGCTAAACATTCGCTACATTTATAATTATCAAGGTGTTTTTAATTCTTGACTCTCGATACTCAATCTTTGAGTTTCAATAACCAATGCATAATACTCTTATTCTCTCAATTTTTTATATTTTTTTATCGTAACCAAATACTACAATTACATTTAGTGCATTTAATAATAAAATGAAAACAATAATTTTGCTGTGAAATATCTAAAAATGTAACTAGCTAATAAAGCTATCTAAAAGTATAGCTAAATACGGATCTGAAAATAATTTTATTAGACTATCCAAATAATTATGTAAAACACTTAAGCGTTAATGATAATACTGCAAAAGGTTTTAATATTCAGAAATCAATTTGAGTGGCATATATAATTATTTTGATGATTCAAACAAAATTACTTTTAGATCTGTATTTAGCTAAATTTTCAGTCTTTAGCAAAATCGAGTTTTTTATGTGTAAATAACATGCAATCTACCAAATTAATTCCAAATTAATCTAACGAAGAAAAGTATTATATAATCTAATTTTTTTAATGTGATTTATATGAACATCTTACTTGACATACTTTGGCATAAATCAAGTTTCCAAAATCTTGTTAATCCGTGTACTTTATTTTAGTCTGTCACTCTCTTCGTTCTCTTTCTCTTTTTTAATCTCTTTTTCCCTCCCTTTTACTGGCGATAAAAATAGATCGCGATGGGTTCCAAAATAGTAGCGACGCTCGAATTTCGTATAGACTGGTGTCGTAAGTCCTAAGTGCTAAAGTAGGAAAGTGGGTGACTTGAAGATAGTCAGGGTCAAGAGTACGGGAACGACGTTGTTCGAGCTGACTCTCTAAATTATGTTGTAATTTATGAAAGTAAAAGCTCGATACAGAGAACTTTTCGTCGCTTTCACTTGCTGAGCACAAAAAATATATATCGCTATTTATTATCTCGTTAACGTATTATCATGTAAACTACTTATTCTCATGAATTATTCACATGAATTATCTCATGAATGATTATTTTTCATGTAGAACAAATAACTGAATAGTATATCTATACGAAAGAATTTGTTGTAACTTCAAAAAATAATTTAATGTAATGATCTTTAATCTTGACTGTACACAGAACTTTTTTTATCGAAACATTAAAGAAACATCACGAATCAAAAGTTAAATTTTAAATAGGACATAATAATATAATATAATAAAAAAACGTATCTAATTTTCAACTTTACTATGAATGGACATATCGCGTATTGAGTGTAAAATATTTTAAATCAATCATTTATTGATGTATGAAACAATGGTATCGCTGAAGTATTGTATAAAAGTTACAAATTTAACTAGATCTGAAAATAAATTTATTGAGCCATTAAAACAATTATGCAGGTTACTCAAGCATGATAATACTGTAAAAAGTTTTGAGCAAGCACATTCTAGCAAGCAGATTGAACGTCCTACACAATTATTTTGATGGACCAACAAAATTAGGTGTACTTCATCAAAACGAACAGTGTATGTCATTTTTTCCGTGTAAAATTAACATTCTCCCGACGCAAAATATTGCTAGCGGAGTGCGGAGTCTAATTGTGTGCAGTTTCGCAATTTTTTCTCAATGATTGACGAAAGCAGCAATGCTGCCCGCATTGCAAATGAGCGCGTTCTATTAACGCGGCATGATGTAAGAGTCGTCCGGGCGCTTGGAGGCGTCGTCGAGGAACTTGACAGGATCTATTACCTCTTATGCATTTGATTATCGAGTGAACGTTAACCGCATATAAGGACGACATTTTGTGTTTGTAGTAGCCACCAGACCAGACCCTCGGGCTCGTAGTTTGGCGAACGATTTAGCCGATGGCGATATACGAGTAATCAATTTCGGTCAAACGTGAGTGCGCGCGGGTTAAACAGCGGAACAAGATCGAGTTCTGAACAGTAATTGAAAGCATATCTATTATTATCCCAACTATATCAAATGTGCATAATCGAGAACGTTATGGTAATAGTAACGAAGATATTAATTATTGTGTTGCTTATTGTAATTGTTTAATCAAAATTGTTGAAGATAAACTTTTCCAAAGACTCACTGATTATTATAAATAATAAAATGATCTGCTAATTATGATAATTACTATTATATTTTGCGTAAATATGTGTATTTTTTATAGGATTCTTTGCTGATCTTTTTTTATGAATTAAATAGCTGCAAGTTAATAAAACAAAATGATCAAGGCCATAACCTCTATTAGGAATATGAAAGCATAACTAAATAAGCGAATTAAATAAAATCAATAGCATTGAATTCAGAATTAATAGCATTGAATTGAAATGAACCGGTCTTTATTGGTAGGGTAGATAGGGGCACACTGAAGTTAACGAAAAAATTACGATGATTATAATTGTGTTTAAGTAGGATCATTGAGATCCGACAGCGAAACAATGTTTGTGAAATATTTTCTGCATGTATATGATTCCATGATTATTGAATGAAAAACTTGAATGAAAAATTCGAATGTAAATACACACAATTTTAAAAGAAAACGCGGAAAATTAAATGTTTTAATGGAGAATATGAGAGACTTGTATATCTTTGTTTATAAAATAATTATAAAATATTTATTTAAAAAAAGTAAAATATTTGTTTAAAAATATAAGATTTGCACTAATCTCATTTTGAATATAAAATTTGATAATTTAATAGTTTGGGGAATAGATTAGCGTGTGATAGCATGTAAATGCGATTATTTTAAAAGTAATAATGCAGAGAGAGAACAGTTATTTTCGAGGGTTTTCTCGACATGGCGATATTAATTCAGGTCGACCGTCATCGGCGTGATTACGTAGCTTGTTTCCTGCCAAAGATCTCTGGGCGACCCAGTTCGTTGTGTCTGACTTCCGAACAGGGCATTTCTCGGGGAATTTTAAAGGCCGTGTAATTATACGGTGTCCTGGTACGTCTACCCAGCCGTTGCGGTTCGGAAGAGGGTCGGATTTATAATTTAAAGCCGCATACAGAATGTAGCTTCCATATATAGGAAAAGTTTAACATGAATTAAACATTAATTTAACATAATTGTAAAATTATTATACATGATTTTGTAATATTTTTTTTAATAGACGCAATGCTAATTGAATTTCAAATTTAATTTTATGCTCTAAATGAAAAATATTTTTCTTAAAAGTTCTAATGGTATCAAGATTAGACGTTTGGATCAGCCGTTTCTTCTCTGTCTTACAACACGAACTGCGGTCAGAAATTAATCGCGTGCCGCATTATGATGCTGATGATGAAAAATCTTCCTTTCTCTCCGTGACTTTCACTCGGATCTCATTCTTGCATCTCATTATAACGCCGAGCGTTTCCTGTGCGTGAATTCCGGAGCAAGATGCGTGCGTTTAGAAATCGCCTTCGAGTATCACGATATTATCTGATAGTAACTAAAAAATTGAACATTATTGTGGGAAACATTCACCCGGAAGAACAATTACAATGTGAGTAATGATAAATAAAACAACGTGAAACGCATTGTCAATTAATGAAAACGGGATTGTTTAACTTTCTCTTGGAAATACGAAGAGGATACATTGTGAAACAAATACTTGCTAAAACTGAAAATAATACAATAAATTGTAGACGCCAAGCTTTTTTCATAATTAATATAAATCCATTTTGAATTTAAATTTTTCTTTTTTTAATCTCTGTCAAGTCTGTATTTGACAATTCAACAAATTGTACGTATATGTAAAGATTTATGTTCAAAGAGTTTTTCAGTCTTTTGGCAATCAGTATATCATTCTGTTATAATCGTGAGAAAAAATTATGAAAAACGAATATAATTTAAATATTTGCGGCTCAATATATATCGCGACGGCAAAGAGACTTTGAGATCAAATTCAATGGGTCCACATTCACATAATATCGCCGGAATAATCCAATAAGCACGAATGCTATAGGGGGTTCTCCAAGTCATTGGCGATAGAGCGAGATTCTTAGCAATCGAAACGAGTACTTTAATAATAACCGGCAACAGGCTACTTTCTCGATCGGGGATACTATATATAAAGTAGACGTCTCTTGTGCTAGAAATAATCGAATGCATTTAGAACGATAGTTAGAGATTAATGTTGGCTAACTAAAAATTGTATCATTGTAGAATGAAGAACACGCCATAAAATTACATATTATATTGCATATAATAGCGATGTATTGTTTTATTGTACGTTATACATAGAAAAATATTATTCTACTGCTAAGAAAAGAGATTCAATACAATACAATTTCCTTTTTCTTCTTTCAACTAACGGTTTTTTTTAACAAAGAATATTTTCTTGATAATAATCTCAAAATATACTTATTACCAATTTTAGAAAATCTTATTATTATGTATTTAAAACAGGAAATATATTATATTTTCTCTCTTTTGAAAAATATTATAAAGGATTCATTTATTTTTTATGCTCACGAGCTTTATTTTATTTTTATCGCTTATTACACGCGAAAGGAAGACAAAATGAAGATTTCAATAAGTGTCAAAAACAAACGCACTCAAAATTTGAAGAAACGTTTTTATATAATAAGCAAATCAAAATTTTAATTTAATAATCTTGATTTTGAGGTATTAAATTTACTAAGAGATTTAGAATATCTTTTAAATAAATTTAATTTGCCTGTAATAAATTAATGATAGATTTGCGGATAAATAAACTTTCGAAATATTTGAAACAAATAATATTTAAATACAACATTATATTTTTCTTGATTGATATTTTTAACATACACGCATGTAGGTATTGCGATATATTTCAAATTTGTTTCGTTTTCCGTCATACATATATCAA